ATTTTTCTGCTAGAATGTATTTGTCAATAACAATATTACCTATTCAGCAGATTTCATGAGTAGCGGTATCCATCTCAGAAATTACTACGAACATTAAAAATTGAGATAACATGTTCTTCCATGTTCCCTATAATCCAAAACCTTCAATTTTTAATCCCTAGAAAAAATTGTCCGAAAATTCTCAGAAGCCTCTGAAACTTCAAAAAATGAAGTTTGCTCGATTTGAATTTTTGTTGTTTTTTTTTTGCCGCGTACCTTCGCCGACATTTTCCAAAAACCTCAGCGTTTTGATCATTGGCGTAGTAGAAACGTTGTATAAAAATTTTATCCTAATCCGAACAGTACTTTCCAAGGTATAGTCGGGCAAGTATGTATTAGCGGACAGACAGAGAGAATGACTGACAGACAAACATACCGACAGAAATAGGTGACATGATTTTTCGTGATGTACATATATATTATTACACCTGAAAAACATAAAATCTCACTTTATAGTAGAACACCTTGTACGTGTCACAAAGTGTCAAATGCAAATTGCAAATTATGTCATACGAAGTAAATCGCTATGAAAGAGTCACACCTCAAGAACGAAATCACTGGTTCTGGGAGGATGCTTTTTTTATCATCCCACTTAAAACGGTGGGTTTAATCAGCGGTATAATTAATTATTGCAATAATTCACTTTAAATACAGATGTTTGAGAGATAGGCGTTAGGATGGCAATCAATTATTTTAATGGTATTAGACTTCCAGAAATTATACAGCTCATTTTATAGGTATTTAAGTAGCAATTTTTTGAGATATGAATCAACTTGTATTTGCAGACCGTTAAACTTAGTCGGAGCTGAGTCTGAATTGATATGCAAACTAATTTCAAGTTTGAATGAGTCACTAACCAATTACTCTATTTCTAATAGGATCGCCATTTAACGTAAGTTTCGACGAATTAGTATTTACCTTTGCAGTTTGCAAACAACTGTTGCTATATTCTGCTAAGCGGACACTAATATATTGCATCCGCCATTTTGCGTCATCAATCATTTGAGTTGTTACGCCTGCCTCTGTACTTTTATCTGTTTGTTCCATAATCCTTAACCCATCCATGACCACGGACAAACCATTCATACTGCCATTTGCAAACAGATGTCACGGTAACAGCCAATAGGTGATGTCCACACTTGACAGATGTGAGGTGTACATAACGTATGGCTTGGCGAGAATTATTTTAACATCATTAGGTGAAAGTTTGTGGACATCTGTTGAATTACTTACACAATAGATTGTAAAAGTTTGAGCTATTAAAATGCTTTCGTATTCGTCGCTCCAGGGTTAGAAGCTCATGCATAAAAAGTTTGCACAAATCGGTAAAATTTGAGTGCCTATCGTTCCGCCATTTTGAAAGATAATCTTTTTATATCCTAGAGTTATAAATTACTCGTAGGGGTCTTCAAAATGAGGTGCTACACGACCCCCTATTTCATTTAAAAAAAAGTTCTAAATTGGCGCCCAGCCGCCATCTTGAAATTTGCAACTGCCACTTTTACGCTTAAATATGGTATTCGTGCATCAATTTTATCCAAAATTTCAGCTTCATAAATTGCGCCGTTCAAAAAAGTAACGAGGGCGTGTTACAAAACACTGTATATAAAAATGTGTAAAAAACTGACTGCACGGAATTTGAGGAGCTTTAAGTCGTTAAACAGAAGAAAATCTAGCTTCTATTGGAACACTCTGCAGGTCAATTTTTGGCTATTCGCCACTGTCTGTCAGAGCAGTCCGTAGGACCTTTGGTCTTGTAATTTAGTATAGACCTGGGCTTAGTTGGCTGAATTCCAAACAAAGTCAGGCACAAATAAGGAAATAAGAGAGAGTGGAAGGAAGAAGAACAGCAAAAAGACCCTTTTTAGGGTCCTATTAAAAAATGATTTGACGATATCATCAAGATCTCAGTTAGGGGTATAGTTTAGCTCTTTTACAACGTAAATACACTTGTTACAACGATCTGAATCGTTTTAGCAGATGTTGATTACATATCTCCCAGAACCTTAAGTGGGGCGAGTTACAAAATGTTACACTACCTCCAATATATTGATGTAGATATAAACAGTTTTTAAAAAAGGGGACAGCCGGGTAACTTTAATGAATTTTAGAGTAAGATATAGTATTTCTGTTGAAATAAAACTAGAATATAACTTTGGTGCAAAAATAAAAATAAAATGATAATTCGACACTAAATCAGTTTCGTAAAATGAGTTAACTTCGAAATATAATATCGGTGGCCCAAAAGTCAGGTCCCACCTATTCTCAGTCACGCTTAACCCACTAGACATCCATTTCGGAAACCGAATAGAAATCATAGAAACAAGCTTCATTCATTAAGAAATACTGTCAACGTACAAACTAAAAAAAAAAATAACAAGTAACGACAAGTGTTAAAAATGGGAGCCTTCGACATTGATACACTGCATTACACGTGTAGGAATGGAGTCGATAACACGCTGCCGCTGAATAAGGTTTGTCCCAATATCCTCAAAAGCGTCGTCAATGTTCCGCCGGAGATCAGCCAGAGTGTAGGGTCTGCGAGCAAATACGATATCTTTGACTGAGCCCCAGAAATAAAAGTCCATACATGTTAAATATGGCGATGGGTGGAAGCCTCATTAACGCCCGTAGTTTTACTTCGTTCTTGCTGCATCGCCTCTTGCAAATCTTTAGCTGGCCATGACTCTCGTAGCGACTTCCGGTCGTATTTTCGTGACATATTCTGGAATATATAGGAACTATGAATAATATTTGCGATTTTAATAGTGGGGAAAATAAGAAACCATACAATGGGGCAAATTGTAAAATATGGTATCGAAAATGCCCCACTTAGATCCAAGTATCAAATTTAACGTTATGTTGTTTGACACGTACAGAGCAAGAAAGCATTTTTATATGTTTTAACATGGTGCACATAAGTTTGGAATAAAATAAATAGTATTAATGGTATGTAAATTTGTTTGAAACTCACCACAAGTTGCCCGACCACTGGAAAAGTATTATCTGCAATATTTTACTAACAAGATACAACACGCGCATATGAACATAAACCGCGTTATCGCCAGACTGACTTCGATGCCCGGATGCCGCTTTGTGCCTAAACAGTTTGCTTGTGTCAGTAGAACGCTAGTGGGGCGTTTTGTCAACTGGGGCATATTACCTACTTTGCCCCTATAATTTGGGCGTAGTTCTATTACTTTTCGAGGTATTGTCTGGCAGCTTCTGAAGTTTATCTTAGCTTGTGAATGCCATATATGTTTCTACGTTTTCAAAGTTGAGTCATTTATTTTAACTGCTTGTAGTACTCGTCAAATGGAGTTGATATACCAAAAATCACCTATAAAAGTTGCATAATAAAAAAATTTCTAAAAGATATTCTCGACCACTGACGTGTAAAATCTAAGCGTTTTTTGTTTACTACTCTTATCATTTATCTAAATTTGGCAAACTTTTTGTGTTATTGTATAGTTTTCAGTACGAGTCTATTTGGTTTGATCAGTTGTATCAGTCTTCTAATAGTGCGTATACTTTCATTTCTCTCATTATTTTGTACGAAAACATGGCCCATGCTTACGAAAACAATGAACTAGTGGACATAATACTAACATACGGAGAGTGCTAACAGCATGCCGCAGCATGCAGGTTGTATGCGGAAAGGTTTCCTTTAAGAAATCAGCCGCCCCACGGATGTTTGTAAATTTAGTTATTCGACTTCATGACACCAGATATTTAAAAGAACAACGAATAGGTCAGGCTGGAAGACTTGCTCAACCTGAGAGGTTACAAATTGAGGAAGACATTTTAGAAACGGTCTAAGACGACCAACAATGAATACTAGAGCCATAGCAGCTCCAGTTAAAGTTTCTCATAGTAAAGTGTGGAAGACAATATGACAAGAACAATATTATCCTCATCATTATCAACGGATACAAGCGTTACAACCTGAAGTGTGTGGCTTTTAGAATAGTTCGGCAGAAATGAAGATTTTACGAAATTAATTTTGTGTACAGACGAGACCACCTTTACACGAAATGGAGTGCACAATTTCCACAACAATCATGTTTGGGCAATAGAAAATCCGCATGCTGTAAAAACATATATTTTCGTTAAATGTTTGGGCTGGCGTGGTAAATGGCATGCGTGCTTACTTTTTTCCACCTCGACTGACCGGTGAAATTTATTTAAATTTTCTTCGACACAATTTGCCACAATTATTAGAAGATGCTGGTCTAAGTGTGAGATAGAATATCTGGTTCCTACATGATGGAGCTCCACCACATTTTAGACGAGAAATTCATAAACATCATCTAAATAATGAGTTTTCGAATAGACCCATTTCTTGGCCTGCTCGCCCCCCGGATTTAAAGCCTTGTGATTTTTTTCTGTGGGGCTATTTGAAAGATGATGGAGCACTAAATACTCTGGAAGAACTTCGAAGCTTGTGAAGAACAAATGGGAACAAATTTGAACAATTTTTGTAAAAACAGTATCCATCTAACTTGATAATGATATTTTAAAATAGTTTTTAATAATGTAAACTAACTCTCTTATTATGCTACTTTAATGCAGGTGATTTTTGGTATATCAACTTCTTGTGGTGAGTTAAAATAAATGACTCAACTTTTAAAACCAGCTTCATCTATAAATATGAAACAACTTTTCTATAAAGAAAACGTTGGAGAATACAGTTCCTCCAATGGTAACAGAACCAGACTAATTTTCCATTATTCTACTCCCTTGTTCATCTCAAACTGTTGCGCTAGTGCAACTTTGTCCGTGCTATTCCACCTAGTCGGATAATTTTATTTGCGACGACGGCAAATCATTGTTTTCGACGTGAGTTAACCCAGAATTCGTGCTAACGCTGCGTGCAAATAGGATTGGCTATTCGCACGTCTGCAAATGGAATAACAGAAACTCGGTTTTCCATAGTCTGCTGACCTAGTTCCAACTGCGTCATGGTCATGGATACGGGAAAGTGTGGATATTGCGGGGAAATAAATAACAATGGGCAGAGAAAACAACCGAACAGATACTACATGTCTTCAGATGTAATTGAGTCCAAAATATGGGTGGGAGAAACCAATTTATTAAGTTCCAAAAGACAGTGATGTTCTTCTAAAGTGGCTATTCAGGTATTATATGACGCAGTTTCTTTAGAACTCTGGAGGCTTTCTCCGTAACACGGCGTAACACATCGTCTAAACCCCCTTTCACAGATGCGTAACAACATGTTTTTTTATTTTTTGACAATAGGTCAAAACACTAGTAAACCAGCAACTATAAAAACCAGTGATGTGATAATTGATGAACTAGGGCTCATGTTGTTAAAATATGGAAGGAAATATTCCGTATAGGCAAAAAATGTTGCCTACTTCAGGTGCAAGTCGCTTGAAATCGCACAGGTGTTAACTTTTGTCATATCGTACCTAATATCCGACTATGGACGCGCTTTTCTACTTCTATCATAAGCACAAATCAAATTAGGCAATATACATAGTAAAATACAGTAGTAAGAAAGCATCTTTTTTTACATTGAAGCAGGCGCGCAGGCAGAAGCCAGGGCACCGCGGCTGCTATGACGAGCCCAAATAAATTTTGTTAATCCTGTTTTAGATAGTAGAAGTCTTCAGGTAGATTGTTCCACAATCTCGATACCCTAGGGACAAAGGAGCAGTCGTATCTGCCAGTTCTGGATGTACGAAGTTCGACATGGTTAGGATGAGAGCCCGAAGTGAAGCGCGTCTGTCTGGCAGACACATAAGCGAGACGGTATAATGAATGAGAGAGAGCTAGTCGAGACGGCAGCACGCCAAACATGTCAGCAATACTCGAGGCTAGGTTTTACCTGGGCCATGTATACTTTATCTGAAGTCACTTGAAACACTGTGAAATACCGGGTGCGTTTTATATATCTATATTTAACACGCTCTGTTGCTGCAAAAATCGCCAAATTTCGCAGCAAATATCCCCCGTATAAGATCAAAGGCAGTTTCACCGGTCCACGTGGAGTAGAGCACGCCTATGCGTGGACATAGCCAATGAGAAAGCGTGTATTTCAGAGCTCCGAAAAAGTGCAGGTGGCTACTGAAAATTGAAACAGTTTAGCCAGTGCCGTGTAGCGGTGAATAAACGTGTTTTCTTTAGTCTGTCCGTGTTTTTTCATAGATTTTATTAGTTTGTGTGTTTTTGACTTTTGACTACTCAGTTTACTTGTTGATTTAATTGTTGTGTTGATTGTTCTTGTGTGTTCTAAATATGGCTCTTTGGAGACCTTGGGGAAAATGCTCCAAGCCACGAGGAGATGGTTGATGAACCTGTGCAGGCAGAATTCTTTCATAAAGATTTAGAGGAACAGACCCAAAGAGTAATCCTAAATATGTATGATTGTTTGAAAAACGAAAATCCAGATTCCTCGCAAAATCAAATTTTAAACAGAATTTGTATCCTGACAAAAATCAGTCGGTCTACCATTTATCGGGTTATAAAAAGGGGAGATGTAGTCAACCATTCCTTCCACAGAAAGCGCATAGGGCAAAAATTAAAAAGAATAGACGTGGGTTTTCAGGAAGATATTCGTCGTATAATATACGGATTTTATAAAGAAAATTTGGTGCCCACGTTGGAAATGATACGGGATAAATTGAAAGATTATCCTGAAGATTTTTATAATTACAAATGCTTAGACTCACTGCACTGTATTGTAAAACTGTGTGGTTTTCAATACAAAAAATTAGATAAAAGAATGGTGATTATGGAGTCGTCTCGAATCGTTGAATTGCGCCAAGAATTTTTGCACAAAGTTAAAATCTATAGAGAGCAGAAAAGAAATCTGATTTACCTGGATGAAACGTGGTATGATACCCATGATGTTGTGCAGTACGGCTGGGTTGACGACAGCAACAAGTGCATTTTCAATGCACCATGCAACCGTGGAAAACGAATCATTATTCTCCATGCTGGCAGTGAAAATGGATTTATACCTAATGCCTTGCTGTTATCTGCCAAAAATATCAAAGAATCATGTGCCGACTATCATGAGGACATGACCTCCGACTTATTTGAAAAGTGGATAGAGCAGCAGTTAATACCAAACATTTCCCCAAATTCAGTGATTATTATGGACAATGCGCCATACCATTCCCGACAGAAAAACAAAATTCCGAATACAGGCACAAAAAAACAAGACATTATTGATTTTATGAAGGATAAGGGAATGGAAATACCACAAAAATCAACCAAAGCCATATTATTGGATCTTATTAAAAGACAAAAATTTGAAAAAGAGTATGTTGTTGAAAATCTGCTTCAGCAAAATGGCCATGAAGTATTACGTCTACCTTCCCTATTACTGCATTTTTAACCCAATTGAGTTGGTCTGGGCTGCTTTAAAAAAAAAGTAAGAAAACATAATCAGACCCCTCAATTAAGTGAATCGCTATTGGCCACAATAAGAGATGCAGTATCTCATATTGCTGCCACAGACCTATGGAAGCAGTGTTTTAGGCATATTATTGAAAAAGAAAATGAATATTGTGTTTTGCCTCCTGTAAATCCCGTTGTAATTCCTCTACAAGATGACTCTAGCGACAGCTCCGAAGGCGAGGATGATATATAAATACCTATAATTTAAGTCTTTATATACCTTTTTATATACCTACCTGCTATGTAAATATTTGCCTATGTCAAACGTTGGAATTCTGTAATTTTTCCATTTCTTAACTTTCAGTAAACATAAATTAAACTCCCAATATAATTTTTTTTTATCCCAAATCAAAAAAATAAGAAGATAGTGAAATCCATTTATTGTGATATAAAAACATTATTATTATCGTTCTAAATAAATCACCGCACGGCTATGATATGAACTAATTTAGCATTTTTGAAAAAAAAACTTGACAAATATAAAGCATGCATCTCCAAGTACTCATCTTTCATATGGCCGAAGTACCAGGCACAAAACATAAGGAATTTGTCCACCGCACCAGACAAATTTAATGAAGTAGAGTGATAGTTCATACTGTGTTGATCAAGTTTCTCAATGGCCGCAAAGTCCAGAAATGCTTTCTATTTAAGATACAAGATGTCAAAGTATAGTGCCATAGTACCTGTAACATTTTACGAAAACTAACACATCTTTAGCATAATAGAGGAACTTAACAATATAATAAAGTCACGTGAACACATACAATATATATCGTGTTTCCAGTTCGAGTCGAAAACAGATACGACTATGTATTCGAAGAGAAATAGTAAAAACAACATTTTTCCGAAATAATAATAATAATAATATTAATAATAATAATAATAATAATAGTCGTCTATATTCGGAAATACACTAACTAACTGACTGGCGAAGTTTAGCATTCGCTACTCTTACGCTTAACCAATCAGTTAGCGAATGGTAATACAATACAATCGTTTTTAATTTTTCCGGACTTTACTTGAGGCGGGATTTTGAAATAAGTTGCACATATGTCTTGCCCTAAATATTTAACTTAATTTTTGTATGTACGCCAGATCGGATTTTTGCATTGGTGAAAATGTTTTAATTCTGTGTCCCTATTATTGAGTTTGAGGTAATAGAAATTGTAATAGAAAGTGGCAAAAGCAGGCGTGGCCAAGAAATGCAGTATTCTTGAAATAATTTCTACCGAAAAGTGAAATTAATTCACTTTAGGGAGTCGCGACTGATCAGAAAAAATGCATAATATGTCATGCATTGCCGTTGTAAAACCTTACAGGAAAACTAATATTTTCATAGTATTCAAAATCACAGTTTCTTGCATGTTTATTTGATTATTTTAGCAGGATAGAGGCGCTCCACATCTCACCTCAGCCGCAGATTATTGTTATTTGAATGCAAGTTGTGTGCATCGCCTTAGGTATGGCGTATATAAAATGTATTCACAACACCCTTTTGTTTACTCTGAAATGTTTCTGTCACATAAAATGATAGTGTTTTCGAAGCTTTCAATACTACCTTCAAATAACATGGAAACGTTTTTCATTCGATAAGTCCAACTAGAGGAGGTCCAGTTTTTTAAAACATTTGAAATCTTATAATAACAATCTGTCATGATTATACACTGCCACGCAAAATTAACCCGACAAACAAAATTTTGTTCAAATTAAATTTGAAATAACTTTGTCATCATTATTGATCTTGCAAAAAATTGAAAATGTTTGTTGTTATACAGGGTGTAACTAAAAGGAGCATTTTGCCGTAAATTTCTGAACACCCTGTGGAAACATTGGATTACTGAAAAATGTGTTTTCGCCTCAACTTTTTTTGAAGAATATATGCTGTTTTGAAGAAAATCATGCGAATCATAGCCATAAACAAGAAATTGTTTCAAGCAGGCTTTGCCGGGTAAGAAATTGTTTCAAGTAGGCTGTGTCTGTTAGCATTTTCATGGCATGTCATGAAGATTCTTGTCAAGCAATAATCAACAAAAATGCACCGGAACCAGTAGCGCAAGTTGTAGCTTTCCAAGATGATGGTCGTCCTATTTGATATATCGATACAAACATTTAGAGAAACTGGTTCTTACTCAAGAAGACATGTGCAAAAAAACGCAGTTGAAGATCGGATTCTGAGACTTCAAGCTCTTCGAAAAAGGACAGTTCCTGCTACAGCTTTGACTCGAAGATTGGATGATGTTCATGGTGCCATAGTTTCACCTGGTACCGTACGCCAAAGATTGTGAGAAGGAAACCTATCATCTTGTGTACCTGCTACAGGTCCTGTATTGGATGTAGGTCATCGAAGGCAGCGCTTGGAATTTTCTCGAACTCATGCAGATTGGAATATCGACGACTGGAAAAACGTTCTTTTTACAGACGAGACTCGATTTACGAGTTATTCACCTGATGGTCGCCAAAGAGTGTGGAGAAGGTGTAGAGAATGCTATGCTCAAACTTGTTTCTCTCCTGGAGTGAAATTTGGTGGTGGAGGAGTGATGGTATGAGGCGGTATTTCTTTGGAATCCCGCCCCTCCTGATGCAAGATAATGCTCGGCCGCATATAGCGGAATGACTAGGCAATACC